AACACTCGGGGTATAGCCCCACATTCGGACTTTGAGACACACGGTCTCGGCTGACATTCCAATACAGGAAGGGAGGGACAGCCTGTGTGTGCTATTGATACAAGTCAGGCAATTTGACCCTGAACTCATTGGCCTGTGAAATGTCTGTGAATGTAATAAGATTTCCATTAATGCCCTTTGTATACTTGCCAGGGTACAGTTTGCTAGGCACCAGCAACTCTCTGGTACCTCGCTCGACTGCTTATTCTTCATTTGGGAGAGTTAGGTTATCCGTGAAGAGCATTAATAATAATAATAAATAATCCTTCCATTTGATGTAGCGTCAAAATGTGTCAAAAGCGCTTCACAGGGGATTGCTCTCCAGAGTTAAGTGACTGTATTTGTAGACAAATCTGGCAGTCATTCTGCACATAGCAAGGTTGCCATAAACAGGGGTGAAGGGAATCACCAAGTTCTCTGGAAGATTGTTGGCCCAAGACATGTTGACAAGCTCTATTTTGTTTTTGAATAGCATCGTGGGATCTTTAGTAACAATTTTTGGACTTGAATTACCTGGCTGGGTAAATGGATTTACATTACACAAACTCTAAATAACATTGGGTCAAAATGAAATGGGGATTGCATTGAGTTGACCCTTTACAAAAGTACGGTGTGAATGGGACAGAGGCTTGTTGGCTGAAGATGAGAACATAGGAAATGCTGGGTGAGTCAACTAGTCTCAGGCATGGACGCTGCGTGGATCTGATGTGAAGAAGCACATCAGCCTGATTATTTGTAGGATACTGCTATGCACAAATTAACTCAGTCACTGCACGTCACAGTAAAATCCTGTGAAACATTTTGAGGTGTTTTGATGATGTGGTAATGTGCTACATCAAATTGCAAGGATTATTATTACTATTAAGTAAGTAGGAATCCGGTTGTTATGGATTGGTGGATCGCTTTTCCAGTGGTAATAAGTCCTTCAAAATAATAATAATAATAAATTCAATCAAGTCACTCAATCCACGACTGTTAGTGGATACTGCTGTGTGCAATTGGCTGCCGCGTTTTGCCTACAAAATACACAGTCAATTCACTGTATAGTGTATTCTTTGAAATGTTTTGATGTATCTCGAAGAAGTGATAAGGCACTATATGAAATGCAAGTATTATTATTATTATTATTAGCCAGGGTTCCTTCTGATCACTGTCAAGTGCCCTCTACTGGAAAATTGTGAGCGTTGCCAGGTGAGAGAGACCGGGATTGGGCTCAGCTGTGCCCAGATGGGTCAATCACTCGCCAATACTTGCTGGTTAAATTCAAGTGTGAAGACTATTGACGTTGACTATCCCAGTGTAAATCAGTACCTTAAAGAGAGAGGAGGAGGAGGAGAAAATCAGCAAACAAAATGAACAAAACTCCTTGCTCAACTTAATTATTATCCTCGCCAAAGTTAATGACATATAATCTCCCGGTTCGTTTTCTTTCTCAAAAAAGAAAGAAAGACCTGCTCTAATCCATGTTAAACACAATCGCCCTCGGGCAAAAATGTCTTCAAGCTACTCAGGATCATTCATGAACTCTGCAATCAATTCTAAACCAAAATGGAATTCTTCAAGTGAACAAAGACTCATCTCCCTGAGTAGATTAGTTTGAGTCTGGGAGACAACAAGATTCTATTCCTCTTTGATTAAATAGATTTGTTACATGCTTTTACATTTGACGGAGTCAGCCTGCAGTCGCTTCTCAGTTAGAAGGTTGTGGGTCACATCGGGACTTTAAGTTCACAGTCTCGGCTGATGTTCCAATTCAGCACTGGGAGAGCACTGCATTATTGGAGGTGCTGTCCTTCAGATTAAACCAACAGTCTTGCCCACAATCCCCAGATAAAATTGCTCATTCACTTTGTGGCTGTTTGTGGAACATCGCTGTGTGTAAGTTGGCTGCCAAGTTCGCTTACAAAAATACAGTCACTGTACATTAAACTCTGTGAAGCACTTTGAGATATTTTGATAACACGATAAGGTGCTGTTTTGACTGCAATGATTATTTCCTTTGATTACAATTTCCTTCCAGTTGTATATATCCTCACGTTGTGACGGATTCTGGTGACCACACTAAACTGTTGCAGTGAGCTGATGCCACTTTGCAGTATGTTCTTTTTTAATGGAAAAAGATTGATGCTATGGAATATTTCTCGCTCAGGATGAGAAATATTGTTTGAAATCTCAGTGTAAAATCTCTCTCTCTACTTGTGAATTGCGTGCCCGGCTGCACTGAAAAGCCTCGGCGGAGAGCTAACTCGAGGTTGGCGTCGATCGGGTCAGGGCTTACTGCAGTCACGGGCTGGCTCACTGTGAATACCGAGCGAAAACAAGGAGAATCTTTTACCATTGAGACCAGGAAAGCCGTGAAGCTAGAGTCCAAGCAGCACAGCTTCGCTCACACCTGGCATGTTCCGCTCTTGAGTTTTGTTCAAAATCTCAGAGCGTTTAGTGTGTGCGGCTCATTCTCTCTGGCCACACACACGCACTGCCCTTGTTGCTCGTGCCAGGGTGAAGGGAAATCAGCAGGCTCCATTCATGCTGTCAGTTCCAGCTGTTACACTGGCTCCAACATAAACTCTCGTTTCTTTTTGCGCTGTCTGGGAGGCAGTGTGAGCAATCTATTGACTCTGTGCCCAAACGAGTGGAGCTAGTACGCTGTTGTGCTAACAATTTGTTGCTGCGTTTATGCCTAAAGCAGGAGGGGAAACCTAACGCGAAATTATTGGTGTAACAAAAGGGAAGGGAGTCTGACTGATTGTTACATTAGTAATCTTTGAAATCGATTACAAGGCCAAAGTTGCACATTGCAGAAAGCTTAGTTGGTAATTGCTATCAAGTGTAACCATTGCATACTTGCAGTTAAACACCAGCAGCCAATTGAGACAACAACAACAACAAATTACATTTAGAAACATAGCAACAGGAGTAGGCCATTCAGCCCTTCGAGCCTGTTCTAACGTTCTATAAGATCATGGTTGATCTGTACCTCAACTCTAATTATTGCCCTTGCCTCATATCCCTTGATTCTCTTAGCTAACAAATGTACACTCGTATCTAGTGCCCTACACGTCAAGAGGATGTCCCATGGCGCTATACAGTAAAGATATTTGAAAAGAGAACAAAGTGTCTCCCGGTGTCCTGGCCAACAATCCCCCCACCCCTCCCCCCGGATAAAAGTGCCCATTCACTTTCGTGGCTGTTTATGAGGCATTACTGTGCGCAAACTGGCGGCCGCAACAACAACAACAACAAAATTACATTTGTATAGCGCCTTTCACGTCAGGAGGACGTCCCAAGGCGCTGGACAGACAGAGTTTTGGACCAGAGCTGGGGGGCGGGATCGGTGAGGGTGGAGTGTAGGGGGCAAAGCAAGTTGATCGAAAGCACGTTCGAAGAGGAGGGTCTTGAAATGGTCTGGAGTGAGGCAAGGGAGGGAGGCGAGGTGGAGGGACTGTGAGATGGAGTTCCAGAGGGTGGGGGCAGAGTGGCAGAAGGCCCACTCGCAAATAGTGGGGTGAACGAGACGTGAAGCAGGCCGGAGCGGGCAGGGTGGTAGGTGTTTAGGAGGTTTAAACAAAAACACACCAGACAGTACAGTAAATTTCCTACAGTGTAGGAAATAACATTATGGGATACAGTACATAGGTAGTTCGGGACATATTTGCATGCGACCGCCTGGCGAGAAAGGGGCTATATCAACTACAAGGATTATTAATTGTTGCTATAATATAGAAAGAAAAACAGGTGGCAGATTATTGGTCACCCACTGCCGGTTACTTGAGAACATTAATGTTCTTCCCCGCGGTTAGTTAGCCCAGAGCTCAAGCTCCCCCAGTCTGCGCTGTGCTAAGATAACCTTTGATCAGACGGTCTGTGGTCGCTTTATTGCCCCTGGAGATGGCTGTCGGGCTCGGTTCTAGTCTGCAAGATGTGCAAAGCAACGATTAGAAAAGAAACGGTCAATTATAAGCACGTTTTCAGGAAGGAGGACCCTGAGGTTTTGCCAGAAATAAACCCCAAATGCTCGGTGATGAGTATCTGTTTTGCTTGATGGTTTAACTCCTCCTCAAAATAAAAGCTATCTATTATATATATATATATATATAAGCAATTTAAAAAAAAATTTATCTGTGAAATTATCGTGCTTTTGATTTAACTTCTAATTTAACTTTAAACACTCCGAGGTGACGTCCGACCTGAAGAGAGCTCTATAAATGCAAGTTGTTGGTGGTGGTGGTGGCGGTGATCGATTTCCATTCTTTCCATCACTGCACCGAGCTGGTAGTGACAAATGTGTGCTTTGTTTTAGCTCAAAGTCCTGACCTGGGGCTTGAACCCCAAGGGGCTTGAAGTTCGCGCCCCCATCACCCCAGACCTTGCAAACTCCCTGCCTCCGTTCCTCTGCCTTGCCCCCTCTTTGCATCCACTCACCACCACCCCCCCTTTCAGATCGCAACTGAAGACTTTCCCCTTCGACCCTGGCTATGGTCACCTCTCCGTCCTCCCAGGCTTGGGGTCATAGTATGCCATCGTTAAGCTCTCTGACACACTACCTTGTGTGAAGGGGCAGGGTAAATGCAAGTTGTTGTTGAACCCGCAGGGTTCTAACTCAGAAGAAGACACAAGGCTCCACTTGTGACACCAGGCAATCTCTGTGTGGCTTTGTTTAAACATGGTGTAAGCACATCATCCCTACAGTAAGTTCAGACAAAGCACACAGAGATGTCAGGATGTAGAAAAACAACGGAAACGCATTCCCCCCCATCAATAATTGCAACCGTACAAAAAACGTAGATTAGTTTGTCAGGTGGATAGAAAGGCGGAGGCTGTTGAATCCGCTTTTTAGTGATTTGTCGGCATTTTAAAAAAAATACTTTAAAGAAAAATATTAACATGATTCCCCATCTCCTCCACCCCCAATCCCACCCCCACCCTGAGCCTCTGGTGAATATTGTAATGTGCTTCCTCAGACTGGAGATGGAGTCCCGGCCAAGGAAAGCATCTCTCTGAAGCGAGTGGCAGTTGTGGAGGATTTCTTCGACATCATTTATTCGATGCATGTGGAAACGGGAACAGAGACTGGGAAGACAGCTAAACACGCCGGGCAGAAGAGGACCTACAAAGCGGTGAGTTATATCCACTTATTAACTTTAATTATTTAGTTCCATAAATGTTCCCCGTCGTCTGCAGTTCTGGGCTTATGTTTTATTCACGAAGATATATTTTAGCACAGGCTGCTGTGCTCGAAGAATTAAACCATATAAGCACTATTTCTGGTTATGCTCTTTGTCCTTTTTTAATATAATTGAGACTTTTTTTCTAAGAATGACTTATTTATATGGCTTATTTCATTTCAATCGTAAAAAGTAATGGCACTGCTTATTAAACAGATTACTTAACAATTAGATTGTGGCCATTTTCTATAAAGGTCAAAGTAAACATTTTGACAAAACCCTCCACGGTCTTGCTCCCCCCTACCTCTGCGACCTCCTAACTCCCTACCATCCTGCTCGCTCCCTGCGCTCAGCTGGCTCCAGCCTGCTTCACGTTCCCCGCCTTGCGCGCCCCACTATTGGTGGGTGGGCCTTCTGCCACTCTGCCCCCACCTTCTGGAACTCCATCACGCAGTCCCTCCGCCTCGCCCCCTCCCTCGCCTCCTTCAAGATCCATCTCAAGACCCTCCTCTTCGACCGTGCTTTCGATCTCCCTGCTTCCCCCCCTGCCCTCCACCCTCTCCAATCCCGACCCCCAGCTCAGGTCCGTAACTCTGTCTGTCCAGCGCCTTGGGATGTCCTCTCGATGTGAAAGGCGCTTTACAAATGTAATTTTGTTGTTGTTTTTGGGGTGGGGGTGGGGAGGTTATGGTTTTTGAGACTGTACCCTGCTTGGAGGGCGGTTATATAAGTGCAAGTTGTTGTTTTTCTCATTATCTGTGAGGTGTTTTAGGATAATAATAATAATAGTCCTTGCATTTGATGTAGCGCCATATCACGTTCTTGAGACGCCTCAAAGCGCTTCACAGAATATATTGTAAAGTGGAGTGACTGGATATATTTTGTGGGCGAAAAGATGCGATGTCGTGGAGGGTAGATAGAGACCGACCCATTGTCTGACGTAACTAAATACTCACGTCACTGTTGGAGTTGCACTTTAATCCTATTCTCAGTTGTTACAATAAGACCTGCACTCGATATTGTATTCACCTATGATTACACAGTCGCTACACTTTACGGAAGCACTTTGTGTTGTTCTTTTTTAACGCGAGAAGGAGCAATATCAAATTCATGGAATATTCTAATTTATAAAATCATAATAATCCTTGCGTTTGATACAGGGCCTTAGCACGTCTTTGAGACGTCTCAAAGCGCTTCACAGAATCGACTGTAGAGTGAATTGACTAAATTTTGTGGGTGAATGCCTTTAATATTAAAGATATCTCAACTTTTCAGTAATGACTGAGTATTTAATCAATTTGACCACAGCACTGTCCCACAAACGGTTAATGAAATGATTTTTGAAAAAATCTGGCTGATTATTACAGTAAAACTGTACAAATACAGCAATGGATTTTCAAACTGTCTCCAGATTATAAGACCAAACAGTTTGACTCAATCCTCTCTCCCCTTGTTAAACACACCTCACTGTTGGAGAGTTATTGTTGGAGAGGACCAGAAATATGCACGATTAAAATAACTGAACCACCAAAAATCACTAATTTAGTTTTGCTCAAATGCAGTTGATTTAACCAATAGGCAACATTGAGGCCAACATTTTTGGTGTTGTGCTATGCACGCCTTGTGCTAATTAACACAAACTAACACGAGCCACAGATTCATTTTTGTAGATTACAAATGTGTGTCATTTTGTGTTGACCTCCCAAAATAATAAAATCCTTCAGGCTGTGGGATAAATAGACATGTTCCAGATACATTGTCCTGCATTTTGCGATATGCAATATTTATTTTGTGGGAATATCAAAAAGCCATCAAACTATCAATGTATAAATGCATTTCTACATATATATGTATATATATTGACAAATGTGTACATATATTTATAAATACAATATTACATATATATTTCTATATAAGTGCATTGATACATATATCTATAGATATAGGGTATGTATTCCTAAATGTATAATTACATATGTATTTATAGATACATTATACATTTATAACTACAATATTGCATTGTATATTGAAAGGTAAATATATAAATACATTGTTACATATATAAATTAATGTATATATTTCTAGATGCATATTTATTATTACATATATATTTAGAGATAGATAGATTTTTTAAAAAATACATTAGTAGGAACTCCATGATTCCCAATAAAGTGGTTCCAGGATGATTGCACATTGTTTCTCTTTTGCAACACTGGAGCTTTGAACACTGAACATCGAACACAGACTGCCTGAAAATCCGTGCTCATAACATAAACCAAATCACAGTTCAGTTTGGTACTGAAATGGAAGGGAATTCCTGAGACAAAAATAGTTGTCAACGACTCAGGGGAATGCCTCTTGGCGTTGACAGGCACTCACACCCCCAGTGGGATCTGGCAGACTTGTTCAAGTCTCATTCCCCACTGTGGAAAATAATTAGACGACTCTATTGAAGTCTGTCTAACCTTCGGTGGATGTGACCTTTTGAGGTTAGGAGTCAGATGCAACATCCCAGCTCCATCTCTCAATCTATTCTCTGCGTCGATTGGGAATGCACGCCAGTCAGGCTGATTGGCAACCTGGATATATAGGGAGAGAAGTTCCACCTGGGTCTGGATTAACTCTTGATTCTCTCAGCATTTCAGAGGGTAACAGAATGTGGCGAATTATTAATGACGGCCTTAATTCCAAAACCAGTTTACTGCACGTTTCTTTTAAAAAAAACTACAGAAAAACACACTGCAAAGAGAAAAGTACCTTCGCGTAAGTGACAAGTCGAATGGCCTGCTTCTGTGCTGTAACATACCGTGACTCTGCTATCTCTAAGGTGTTTCATCGCCTGCCTGTTAAAAAGGCTTCTAATATGTTTAAAACACAGCTACCAAATATGCAAATTACAGAATTACTGCAAAAATTATATTTTAACCTCTCAGCGACTGGGTGAATAATTAATGGAAAACCTAACTGGGGAGTAAGGTAAACACGTATTAAAGAAAGTTCAGTACTCCATTATTATTATTATTATTACTAACAATCCTTACATTTAATCAATTGGTGGATTGCTTTTCTGGCGGTAATCCCTTAAAAAAAGGGACACGGCTGTGGTCAATCGGTTGCCGCAATTCACCCACAAAATATACAATCAATTCACTCTGTGAAGCGCTTTGAGATGACTCAAAAACGTGATAACGTGCTGTATCAAATGTAAGGATTATTATTATTTGATGCAATGCCTTTTATGTCAGGAGGACAGCTCAAAGCACTTTGAGGATATCCTGTAAAGTGGAGCGAGTGTGTGCTTTGTAGACAAATTCAACAACCAATTTGCACACAATAATGTCCCAAAAACAGCCATGAAGGGATTGACCAAGTACTCAGAGACACAACACATTAACCAGCTGAGGGATAGAATCAAAGGAGCCAGTGTTTTTATACAATATCAGCAGTGCTACTAATGATCCAATACTCAGGCGTGTAAGACAAGAGCTGGAACCTAGCCTCCATCTCTCATTTGAACAAGAGACAATGCAATTTATGTTCAGACGTCGCAAATGATAGTTCTTTTTATTGCAAGGCTTCTTCTCTCCAATATAGGATAATACAAGATTCAGCGAGCGCGCACACGCACACACACACACACCCTCAAAACAAGTGAGAATTTTCCAATGGGTTTAAAAAAAAATCCTTTAATGTTTTACTTTGAAGCTTACAAAGAAAAAGCCGGGCTTTAAATCAGCTGGCCCTTGTGCTAAATTATTAAACCCACGCATTGACACACATTCGTATTAATCGTTTGTGGCAAATTTCAAGAAATTACCTTTTTTTAAAATAAACTAAAAGGACAGTAAAAGAGCAAAAGTCTGAGGACTTTTAGCAAAAGTGTCTTTTTAGATGAGAAACGCTGTGTTGTAGCCTGTGGCGACGGGTTCCCACAGAGAGCGCTTGTGCAATGTGGAGAAATGTGCCACCCTCACAAAACATGCCTCATTAAGACACATTTACAGTGCAATTCGGAAGAATCCACGCTGTTGTCAGAGGCACAGATGTCAAACCGTTCCCCAATTGCTGATGTGCAGGAACAGATGTTTAAACAGTGGCAATTACTGGTTCGAATGAGACCCAAAAAGAAAACGAGCACACGGATAACGCTGAATAAATATTGTGTATGATTACTTGTTTTTACAAACACAAGAGTCGCACATTTGTCACAGCTCGTGTTGGGCTGCAATAAACTTGTGATATCTGCCAAGTTCTCTGAGTAGACGAACACGTACTGAAACAGCACGGGCTCCGTCAACACTACTGTGATCCCAAATCAACCTTTTGCTCCTGTGACCCAACAAAGCTGGAGGCATGGAATTCCAACTAGTCTTAGTCTGTAAAACGGTTTTATCTTCAGATGTACGGATGCGCAGAATTGTGGAAACTCCCTAAATTCAGCCTTGCACATTTCTGCACGATCTTAAAACCTAAGACTTAGTGACCAAAACTAGGTTGCATTGCAGGGTTCATCAGATTTCCTCAGAGATGAATATATATTCTCCAGGTAATACTTGCCAGTGAATTCAAAGCTGGTTCCAGGACATTGCCTGTCCTCTACTTTCCCTTACAACACTCAGATCCAAATCCCTTACTGTCCAGTTACTTGGGATATCCTCCTGACATGAAAGGAGCTATACGACTGTAATTTTGTATTGGATTGCTGTGTGCAAATTGGCTGTTGAGTTTGGCTGCAAAGTGCACAGTCATTGCACTTTACAGCAAATCCTATGAAGCGCTTAACCAATCAAACTCTTTTTGTCTTTGTCTGCAGTGATAGGTGGGAGCCAAATCCCCCCCAAACCCAAACGGTGCTCCTCTGTCCCCTGCCGTGTGTGTGCAGTGATGCACGTCACATGCTCAAACTGCAAATCACATGCAGAAACTGTAAATGACACGCAATGCTAAACGGTTTAGTTCATTCTGTGCCTGTGTTTAGTGTCTGTGGCAACCACCGGGAGTTTCGAAACCCTCGCGTTACAGATTTTGTTATTCTCGTCAGTGAACGTTGACCCTTAATGATTACACAGCGCACGTCAGAAGTGACAGGCGTCTAATAAGCGTGAAGTGAAGGTTGTTCCTCTTTGCCTGGTGCCGGGTGATGCCTTTATGTTACTGATTGCCTCTGTATATCAAATCAGACTCTGGTTCCTTCTCCCAACTCACAAACGCTTCCCGTTTCTCCAAACCAGATTGCCGAGACGTACGCCTTTCTGCCCAGAGAGGCGGTGACGAGATTTCTAATGAGCTGTACAGAATGTCAGAAACGAATGCACATAAACCCCAATGACATGGATACGAAAGGTAATTGTGTGATGTGTATGTGTGTGTGAGTGTTGGTGGTGGGTGGCACCTTGTGCTGGAAATCCCACTTGGTTCTTGGCTTAGACTATTTATCCCCCAAACTCTCCAACACCCTTCCTCTATTCTTCCGCCTTGCGCCCTCCTTCCCCACCTTCAGGTCGTACCTGAAGCCCTTCCTCTTCCACCGTGCCTACGCTCACCTCCCCCCCCCCCCCCCCCGGCTCGGCGTCAGATTCAACCCCTGTCAAGCGCTACATTGCGTGAAGGGCGCTATATAAATACAGGTCGTCGTTGTTGTTATTTGCTTAATATTTTAGAGTGTTCAAGTTTTGGGAAGTTTTTCAATACATAATAATAATAATCCTTGCATTTGGTATAGCGCCTTATCACATCTCCGAGACATCTCAACGCGCTTCACAGAAAATACACAGTATATTTTATGGGCGAATTCAGTCTTAATTTTGAAGACTTTTTTTTCCTCGCCCGCAAGTTATTTTAAGAACTGCTGCAAATTTCGACTCCGAAATTAAAGCGTGAAATTCGACCCAGTCTTAGCCTGGACAACTAAGCTCTCAAAAAATGGTGTGAAATCTTCAACTCAGGCTTAAAAAAATGCACAGTCACTGCACTTTACAGTATATTCTGTGAAGCGCTTTAAGACGTCTCGAAGACATGGTAAGGTGTTATATCAAGGATTGCTATATTTTATTATATTATAAGGCTACACATAGCCAGCCTCTGACATACTGAAATCATTATTATCTCTGGTGCATGAAATCAACAGAACATAATTCAGTCCTGTGTTGTTTTCTTCTCTTCTCTCTCCCCCGCTCCACTTAGAAAACGAAAAGCCTTCTGCGTTGGCTGGGGTGATAGATTACAACATGCCCATAACCGCCACCTACTTGAATCAAATGAAACTGCAGTTTATGAGCACCTCTCAAAACGAGGTAGGTTTGATCAGCGCTAGTGGGGAAGGGAGAGAATTTTATATCATGGTTCGATGGCACTTGCTACCAGGACTCTATGTTATATTGCCCTCCACTATCAAATGATATAATATGGATTTGCCTCCACAGTTTGCTACATTGTTGAAGAGAGGAAGGAAGAATGGATTAAAATAAAGGTCGAGATGTGCACTAGATGTGCTAAACTAACAATATTGTTATGGTTTAAGGAGCTGAATTTTTTTTGCGTGCATTTATTAATAATAATAATAATCCTTGTATTTGATATAATGCCTTATCATGTCTCAAAGCGCTTCACAGAATATATTGTAATGAATTGACTGTATATTTTGTGGGCGGATTGACGGTATATTTCTGCTGTTTGAGATGGGTTATTGATTATATGCAACCAGGCAAGTGTTTGAGCAAAGCTTGCCCTCTGCTGTCAGATATTTGTAAGTAATTAAGAGGCAGATAACTGCATCGCATCTTTATCAACTCCCAATACTCGTGATTTTATACAAGCTTTAGTAACAAATGTGCAACATTTGCAGTAATGTAGAAATGCGCTGGCAACGCTGCCATCTTCATTGAGGTCATTGAGGTCACAATGATAACATGAGGATAATATTAATAATCAATCTTGCATTCGGTACAGCGCCTTTCACGTCGGGAGGACATCTCAAAGCGCTTCACAAGATTTACCTTAAAGTGCCGTGACTGTGTATTTTGTATGCTAACATGGCAGCCAATTTGCGGACAGCAATATCCCACTAACAGCTATGAAGTGAATGACTATTTTTATTTGGGGGATTGTTGGTCAGGAACATTGGGACAAACTCCTGTCTCATTCTGAATAGTGCCCGCGCCAGATCTTCAACATCCACCGGAAGAGGAAGACAGGATCATGGTTTTCTTATCGAGGAATTACAGTTTAGATTTTCCTGTGGCACCTTTAGAGTTGCAAGGACGTCACAAAACCCTTAACAATGCTGGATTGGCACCCGAGCTGGGGTTGGGAGGGGAAACTCGACCAAAAGCGTGGTTCAAAGGAATCACCAATAACAAACGTTTATACAATATGATAAGAGACCCTTGCGTCATTTTACTTTTTCTTGTTCGTTTGTCACACTTGGAGACAGAAGTGATTTTCACACTGAACGGTCTCTCTCTCTCTGTCTTTCTCTCACTGCCAGTTGCCACCTCTGAAAATATATTTTGTTAATTTACCACTAATTTAAATTTACAGCTCCGTGACATTACCAAGTGCAGTTTGACTCTGAGACCTGACTAATAATGAGCACAGGTCCCTCTTCAACTCTACATGCTAACGACTGTTGTGCACAAATTGGCTGCCAGGTCCGACTACAAAATACCCAGTCAGTGCACTTTGTCGTCAAACCCCGTGAAGCGCCTTGAGACGTCCTCTCGACTCAAAAGGCGCTGTATCGAATACAAGGATTACTATTATGAAATAACTCTGATAGATGCAACGGTAAGGGTTACCTCTGCACTCCTCAGGAAATTATGCTATTGGAGGGAGAGAGAGAGTGTTGGAAAATCACTCACTTCTGCCCATTTCCTTCACTCCATTGCCAAAGGCTCATTCATTCCTCTAGACTTGACTACTCAGATGCGTTCCTCACCAGTGTTCCTCACTCAATGCTTCACAAGCTGCAGTTTATCCAGATCTCTGCAGCCCATATCTTCATCCGAAGCATTGCCCCACCCCTTGGAAAGAGGTGAAAGCTACTTTCCATGAAAGCATCCTCAACTGTTGTAATTGTCTCAATTACAAGCATGAGCCAAACTTCAATCGAATGAGCATTTACTGTGTATCCCATGTGAACATCATGCTCAAAAGCTCAAGCCTTGGTTACAGAATAGATTTCGGTGGATGCGAAGCAATACACAATTTGCTCTTCACATTTCACATCCAGCACTCGGACTGTTACCCATTCACTCCGGTTACACATAAGGGTCTAAGTACTACAGTGATGAATTTGTAATAATAATAATCCTTGCATTTGATAAGCTGCCTTGTCACATGACTGAAACGTCTCAAAGAGCATCACGGAATATACTGCAAAGTTTAGTGACTGCGTGTTTTGTGGACGAAATGCGGCAGCCAATTGGAATCAAATGCAGGTCATGCACTTGCGGAGGGTCAGTCAAAAGCCACAATGTGGAAATCAAACGCAACAATCGAGCTTCACAAAGATTGCATTAAGTTCATTTTGGGGTGGTGGGGGAGAGAGAGAGAGAGAGAGAGAGAAGGGGAGGGCAAGTCTGTCTCCATCCATTTTGCTCACAGTCAATTCACTTTGCAGTATTCTTTGTTCCTTGATCTGTACATTGAGAACTGCCAGAGTGACATTGGCTGAGTCAGTTTCTCCACCTCACTCGTTCACTCAAATCTTTCTCCCTCTGAACGTGCTGAATTTCACTCTCTCAGGTCCAACCATGATGCTGCCTGACCTGCTGAGTGTTCCCAGCGACTTCTGCTTTTATTTCGGATTACAGTATATTAAGCACATAAACTACTCAATATACGGTTGCTCTTCTCCTTCAAAACTCACGTGGAAGAGAGCGAGGCAGCGAGCGAGCTGAATCTTCCACAGCGAAAGGCGCTTTTCAGAAATACTTGGTGCCACTTTTGTTATGTGTCTTGACCTATGGCCGCTCTGCTCTGAGTTGGAGGAGCTTGCAGGTGCAACTTGGAGGCACTTGGTAACAGTTCTCTAATTGCCCACAGATGTATGGTTTTCCAGCACCTCCATGGCTGTTATCTCACACCGTGTATCACATACCCAGTGTCTCACTTTCTCAACGTATCTCACACACAGTGTATCCCCTTCACTATATAGGTCACACAATGTATCACACACTCTCTTACATCGAACACATCGTTCTCTCAGTGTATCCCTCTACTGCATGTATCAGTCACAGTGTATCTATCACTCTTTCAGTGTTTCACACAGTGTAGCTAGTATCTTATCACAACGTGTGTGTGCTTCACACTGTACCTCTTACACAATGCATCAATCTGTGGATCTCACCCTCAGTGTATCTCTGACACATGGTATCCATATGTATTATTCTGAGTGTAACAGTGTGTATATCTCACTCACTACCCTGGGCATGGTCAAAGAGAAAGGTCTTCAGTATACCACTCTTAGTATATCTCATACACAATGTATCAGTCTCTCACTGCAACCCTCTCTCTGTGAATCAGTCACTCCCTCAGTGTGTACCTTTCTCACTGTATCTCACGCATAGTGCATCAGTCACAGTGTATCCCTCCCTCTGTGAATCTCACACACTCTCAGTGTATCAATCAAACACACTATTTATCTCATGGTGTCTCCCTCTCAGTGTATCAGTCACTCAGAGAATCTCACACACAATGTGTCAGTTACAGTGCATTAGTCACAGTGTATCCCTCTCTGAGTCACACACAGTGAGTGGATCCCTCTCTGAGTAACACACAGTGAGTGAATCCCCGTGTCAGTCACACACAGTGAGTGTATTCTTGTATCAATTACACACAGTGAGTGTATCCCTGTGTATCACACACAGTGAGTGTATCCCCGTGTCAGTTACACACAGTGAGTGTATCCCTGTGTCAGTCACACACACAGTGAGTGTATTCCTGTGTCAGTCACACACACAGAAACAGTGTATCCCTGTCAGTCACACACACAGACATAGTGTATCCCTGTCAGTCACCCACAGACACAGTGAATCCCTGTCAGTCACACACACAGACACAGTGTATCCCTGTCAGACACACACAGACACAGTGTATCCCTGTCAGTCACACACAGACACAGTGTATCCCTGTGTCAGTCACACCCACAGACACAGTGTATCCCTCTGTCAGTCAGACCCACAGACAGAGTGTATCTCTGTCAGTCACACACAGACACAGTGTATTCCTGTGTCAGTCACACACACAGACACAGTGTATCCCTGTCAGTCACACCCACAGACACAGTGTATCCCTGTGTCAGTCACACACACAGACACAGTGTATCCTCTGTCAGTCACACACACAGACACAGTGTATCCCTGTCAGTCACCACAGACACAGTGTATCCCTGTCAGTCACACACAGACACAGTGTATTCCTGTGTCAGTCACACACACAGACACAGTGTATTCCTGTCAGTCACACACAAACACAGTGTATCCCTGTCACTCACACCCACAAACACAGTGTGTCCCTGTGTCAGTCACAAACACAGACACAGTGCATCCCTCTGTCAGTCACACACACAGACAGTGTATCCCTGTCAGTCACCCACAGACACAGTGCATCCCTGTCAGTCACACATAGACACAGTGTATTCCTGTGTCAGTCACAAATGCAGACACAGTGCGTGGAGTCCTGTAGCTCAGTGGTTAGAACATTCACTTTGTAAGTGAGAGACCTGAGTTCAATTCCAGGCAGAGGGCGAAACCTTGGGCAAGTTTCCTTACTCCACACAGAGCCTAATAATAATCCCTCCAAAACCAAAAACAATAATAAATTGGTCATTTTCAATCTACGACTGTTTGTGGGACATTGCTGTGCGGAATTGGCTGCCGCGTTCGCCCACAAATATACAGTCAATTCACTTTACAGTGTGTTCTGTGAAGCGCTTTGGGACGTCCTCCCGACATGAAAAGCGCTATATCAAATGCAAGGATTATTATATTATTATTATTATCCCTGTGTCAGTCACACACACAGACAGTGTATCCCTGTCAGTCACCCACAGACACAGTGTATCCCTGTCAGTCACACACAGACACAGTGTATCCCTGTGTCACACACACAGACACAGTGTATCCCTGTCAGTCACATCCACAGACACAGTGTATCTCTGTCAGTCACACACACAGACACAGTGTATCCCTGTCAGTCACACGCACAGACAGTGTATCCCTGTCAGTCACACACAGACACAGTGTATCCCTGTGTCAGTCACCCACAGACACAGTGTATCCTTGTCAGTCAC